TCTCGGACTCCTAACATCTCCCTCTCCCGCCCCACTCCCTTCCTTTTAAGATACCTGAGGGGCTCTGAACCTTTGCATTACCTCACACTGACAGAAGGGGGAAGAGATAGGTGCAGATAGAATCTCACGGTGGTGCCTTACAGTGACTATGCTCCAGTGATCTCAGGGTTCCAGTTCGATCTGCAAATAACGGCGAAAAATAACGCAACCCTTGTGTAGGCACTCCGTCGGCATTTCGTCCCGTCTGTGGGTGCAGGCTGGTGCCATGTCCCCTTCTCAATTTGTGATTAGCAATGCTTCGTAGGACCCCCCCCCCCTTCCTCTGACAAGCTGTGTGGCGCACTCGGTGTATGTCATGTGAAATGCTTTCTTTTTATTGTAAATTTTGTTTCTGGCCTATCTGTGTAGTCTCCATCCAACTGCTCTCGCTGCAGGGCATGCTGGGACTCGGGTTCCTTATTGTGAGCCAGTTACTTGACCACTGGTCTATTTTTTTAACCCCTTTTTTGGCTGTGATTACAATGCAAGAGCAAGTCGCAGCTACTGTGCCCATTAGGACAAGGGGTCAGAGTGGTGACATAGTTGCTGAAGCATTTCTCTATAGAGAATTTTTTTTTTTTTTCTTTTGTTGGTGAATATCAAACTATGCAGCCTGCTGAATTTTGTTACATTAAACTGCTGTAAGGCCCTTTGACCCTCGTCCCTCCATTTTAAGGAGATTTAAATCCTCATAAACCGCTTCAGTTCTCTTGCCGATTGTCTATCTCTCTGGGATCTCACTACTGTTTTCTAAAACAAAGGCTAAACCACTTCAGATGCTGGAACCCTCTTCCGCTCAGGCAACTGTAGAGCAGTAAAGGTTTGTCGCTCTTTGGAAATGTATTGGATAAAAACCTCAGGCACTGGCCATATCCAGTATTGAGCTAGTGGGAGGATGCTGCCTCCACGCAGGCTTATTGGAATATATAAAGGTCTTATCGGTTCATGAAGAGCTATGGGGGTGCCATGTGATATTCCTAAGTTCCCGACGAGTTGGGGGGTGACCACCTTCCCGACGAGTTGGGGGGTGACCACCTTCCCGACGAGTTGGGGGGTGACCGGTCAATGTTCTGGGTCAGAATCCGCATTAGTAAAGAATGGTAGTTCCCAAATTCCTTTGAACCAGTCTCTCTAACGGTTTGGGTTCTAGGATGGCCGTACAGTATAGAACATGGATGAGCTTTATCTTGAAGGTGAAACCACTGTAGATGTCTTCAGACTACTGCTGCAGAGCCTTGCACAGATTTGTTGCCTTGTATTGCCAAACATTTCACATATGCTGGACACTCGATCTACCTACACTGCTGCTGGTTTTCCTCTATAAAATTTTTAGTTTCTTTTTAAAACCTTTTTAGTTGGCGGACCAGTTGTTGGGTATTTGACCAAGTGTGAACTTTATGTAAAGAATCATGTATGGACAGTTTGGGGGAAAAAAAGCCCTGTAACGGCACTTGTTTAGTAGAGGAGCTGCAGAGGACGCGTATGGAAGGTAGGTGCTGCCCCCCTAATTGCGTTGTCTACCTGTTCAGGACAGTCTGTCTGCTGATAGCCCTCCATCCGCCCTCCCTGCTGCAGATGTCTACCCTGAGTAAGCTTTGGTGTCAGAGCTCACCTGGGAGATGGCAGTGCCCCCCCACCACCCACACACGATTGGCCTCTCCAGCCCAGTGGTAGTTGCATGCTCCCCCATACTGGAAAGTTCTGATCCATTAGAAAAGCTGAGCAAGGGCTCAGAGTACCAGAGCTGAGTGGTTGTGGAAAACACCTCGTTGGGCTATCAGGAGACCCGGTCATCTTCTCCCGGATAGGCAATTACCGTGTCCCGCCAGAGGTTTTTGTTGCGTCTTTAGAAGTGGGATGCTTACCTCCTGCTTCCTTGAGACGGCCCCCTTTCAGATATGAATACTACAATGGCCGCTCTGGGAAAGTTGGTTGGCCAGAGGTGCCACTGATGAGCTGAAGAGAGAAAAGTGAGCACACGTACAGTTTTACAGCACCCTCTTCTTGGGGTGCAATCATTGAACTCCTGAACCCCCTTATACTAAGACCATGGTACAGGGACTTGTATTTTTGAAGCAGGTATAAAAGGTGATATACAACAAAACCCTTTTCTACTCGGAGGTACAGGGTGCAGAATCTCTCACACATGCCCACTGCAGCATTTTTTTTTTTTTGGAGGTACACGGGTGCAATGTTGATCCCTGAGGCAAGGCATTAACCCTTCTCTCTGCTGGGGGACCACAGCAATGCAGAGATGGCAGTGAAGGGGGGTTGTGTCTGCGCAGGAAATGGTATATTATAGCTCTCCGTTGGTCTCGGTGCTTCCTGTTACAGAAGATTGGAGCACTAACTGGCACTGAGTGCCAACTTTTACCGTAAGTCACCCCACCCCTGTAAGAAGCTGAGCGTGCCTGCTGGGAACAACTGAGGGTGGGAGGAAATGTGTCCTCTTTTTTGTTTTGTTTTCCCCCCACTTAAAAAGCTGAATTGTGGCTTTTTGAGATTTTTATTGTGAATGAAATGAATGTAGAGAAATAATCTGGATTCTTGTCTTTATTTCGGGTAGTGGGGGAGGGGGGAAGCTGGGTCTCGGCAGTGAAAAAGCCGAAGGACTCATTTCGTGTAATTTCTAATGTCACCTGACTGGCTAAACAGACTTGAAAGCTGGGAGAAGTTTTAATTCTAGAAACTGCACAAGTTTCCCTTAAGTATAATAGGAGCGGAGGCTTAAAAAAAAAAAAATGTACCAAAGTAGCATCCAAGACGGGTGCTGTATTTCAGGTGCTGTGGTTGGGTAAAGAGCTCCAATCACATACTCTCCTCTATCCGTCAATTTACAAAAAAAGCCTTGCATTTTTTCTTTTCAGAATGGAAAGCTTTTTGTAAAATAGATGGGGACAGGTATGTGACTGGCTGTCTCTCCCCCTTCTCCATTCACAGAATGTAAAACAATGTGACTGGAGCAGGTGAAGTGCTTCAGTTACATCCCTCCCTCAACTGCTTCTCCATTCACAAAATGCTTTGCATTCTTACTGCTGTAAGGTGTGTGTGTGAGATATATATCTATCACACTTTTTTTTAAAATTTATATACTGTATTTTTTTGCTCGCCCCCCTGAAAAGGCGGGGGAAAAATGTGTCTGCGTCTTATGGAGTGAATTCCCTATTGCCCGACGCTCGGAACATGCAGTTTCAGGCGCCGGGTGATTTTATTTTTTTTTTCCACCCAGAGCAGAGCTAATGTACAGTGGGAGTCGCTGCTCGTTTAATACAAGTGATCTATTTAGATCACTTGTATTAAAACAGAGCGGCTGCGAGTCTGGGGGGGGACCCATGGGATAGGAGCTTACCATAGAGACCCCAGAGCCAGTGGTGTATTTTGGTTTGGGGCTGCCCTAGGCAAGCTGAAACTCAGGCGCGCTGTTTAAGACTTTTTGTGTAACATGTCAGTCGCTGGATACAGCACACAAGCTTTAGACATATTCTGCTATTAGCTTAGCAGGAAAGCTGGTGGTCAACTACGGGGTCTATGGTGGGCTGTGCAGTGTCTTAGGCTGCAGAGCCCACCATTATGGGTGGTCACACATTCCACCGCCAAAAAACTGGGTGAGATTACGTTAAAATGTGTGACCACATGACAGGTCACACATTCTAAGGTAGTCACAAACTTTGATAGAACAGGGACTTCTCTGCCGCCCGACCAGCACTTAGGGGACCCGGCTTCCTCTG